GAGTTCCTAAAAGCAGTCTTCCAGAAACTTCTTTCATAAGCATATTTCAGGTCACTATATTTGGAGCTCCAATTATTTTTTTAAAGAAATGATTATTGAGACCCTTTGTTTTTATGTAATATACATTTCCCTTCCCAGAAGTCATCCCCTACAACAAAGAATAAAAAAGGGGGGGGAAGGTTAGTAAAATTAAGGTATCAAAAAAAAGTCTGACATTATATTCAGTGTTCCACGTCCATAGCCTCACACCTCTGCAAAAAGGTAGGTTAAATGATTTCTCATCACTTGATTATTATAATTTCACATCCTCCAATATTGTTTTGTAGTGGTTGTTATTTCCAGTTATGTCATTGTGTATAGTGTTTTCTTGGGTCCGCTTACTTAACTTTGCATCAGTTCATATGTCTTCCTATACTTCTCTGTATTCATCATACTCATCATTTCTCAAGGCACTATAATATTCAGATTGGAGCCTGATGGATTAACATCCAGAATTTATTAGGTAATTATATTTGAGATCTCATTGAGTTAAGTAGCTCCTGGTGCTTAACTCTTTCAACCAAGACAAATCAGAGGACCTTCTCTGCTCCTTATAGTCTTAGAGAGTTAGCAAAAGGTTGAGTGACACGCCCTGGATCATATTGCCAGTATGTGTCAGAGGTGGTATCTAAACACAAATCTTCCTGGCTCAGAGGCCAGCCCTCTATCCACTACCCCACACTCCCTTCTCATTAGAGAGCTAATGAAGCAAAAATAATGTCTGTTACAAGCATTTCAAATCATATAGCAGAGTGGAGATGCTAGAATATTATTTCAGAAATGATACTGTGATCATCCTTATATACTTGGGTTAATTGTTCCTTCCTGCCCTTCACCTACAACACAGATTTTGGCATTAGAGGGAATACATGTCTCTTCAAAATGTTGATTTGGTGTCCCTGATGTCTGGTCACTCACACAATTTTCTTCTGACTTTTCTTCATCCTTAGGGTCGTCTGACATCTCTCCTTCCTCTTTGGAAATTGCAAGCTTTTCTAGAGATTCCATTACCTCATTTCTCAGCTCATCTTCAGATTCTTCAAAATTTCTGAAGTGTTCAAAAGCAAAAGTTAATTTTATCATGTTAAAGCACCAAGGAATAAGAATTCATTGGAGTCAGTTCCCAAGCAAGCTCTTCTCTCTAAGTTGTATAAACTCTTTCAAGACGCTAAGGTATTACTGAATAAACAGTGATTTAATAACCTAGAAATACCAGAGTCTAATGTTGGGAGAGTGAAAGATTTAGGGAAAAGAAGGGAGGTTTTCTTCAGCTAGGTTAATGATTAGCAATCTTTGTGGAGATGAGAAACCTCTGTAAGGCTTTGTCTATCTGACTTCATGAATATTTTCTAGTAAGTTTTAAGTTTCTTGAGGGTAGGGAATACATCTGATTTATCTGTGTATTCCTTTCCCCACCCACCTCCAAATTTAACACAGTATCTTAGTAAATGTATTCAATAAATGCTTGTTGAATGAACGAACAAAACAATTCTCTTAAAGTACAAGAGGAGAGTAATGATATTTGACATTTATATAGCCCTTTAAGGGGAAAGGGAAAAAGCATTCAAGTGTCTATTACATGACAGACAGTGTACTAAGGGCTTTATAATATTAAGTCATTCGATCCTTTAAGGTTGGTAAAATGTTTTACATATATTAGCATTTCTAGAGCTCTTTAAGACTTGCAAAGACCTTTACATATTTCATCATATTGGATCCTCATAGCAACACTATGAAGTAGGTGCTATTATTATCCCTATTTTATAGATGAGGAAACTTGAGACTGAGTGAGTGAAGTTAAGTAATTTGCCTTGGGGCTACTCAGTTAGTTTCTGAGGCTAGATTCAAAGTCAGGCCTTCCTCTCCCCAAGTCCAGCATTCTATGCCCTATAACACCTAGCTGGCTCAGAAAATATTGATTGTCTTCTTTGGGCCTCATAAAAATCCTGAAAGTGTTGTTTTTATCCCTATTTTACAGTTGAGGAAACCAAGGTTTCAAATAAGTTCTCAGTAGGTTGAGAAGCTTACCTGAGTCAGATAGCTAGAAAGTGTCTGAGACAGGATTCAAACCCAGATCTTTCAGACCCCAAGTGAAGTGCTCTATCCCTCACACTATGAAGATGTGTGTGCATAAAACTACATGTGCATGTAAACTTTTATAGAAAAACTCATAACAAACTACTATGGGGTTGTATAGGTGTGCATATGGCTTTATATACTGCTGAGGGAATTAGAGCACTAAGTGGTAGTAGGAATTGAGTGAAACACACTGACTCCCTTGTGACTCAATTCTGGAGCTAGCTTAGTTCCCTGTCTGTTCAGTTATCAGTCTAGCCTAATTTTTGTCCTGTAAGAAAACTTTATTCAATTGTGTGACTTGTGAGAAAACCTTATTGTATTGTTTGAACCTAGTCTTGTGTGTCTGGGAAGCTGGACAGCCTTTCCCTGCTGCTTAAAGACCCTTAACTAAAGACCCTTAACCAAAGACCTAGGTTATCTAGATCCAAAGATTGAAGCAAGGAGTTTTCTCATAATTGTACATCTCAAGCAACTCATATGGCTTATCTGAAAACCGATTCCAAACTGATCAATCAGTTATTGTTTCCTGTACCTTTGATCGAACACAAATACTTGGGAGGAATGGGACACCTTTTTCTGATTTCAGGGAATTGCTCCTGTTTGCTCTTCTCCTTCCAATTTGGAAAATCCCTAATCTTTCCTCCTGTTAGAAATCGCCGAATTTTGTATCCTGGTTAATTGTTTTCTTTGAATTAATTGGTCTTATTTGATTAATTGTTTTTAATGTATAAAAATGTCTCCCCCTTTGTAGGGATTAAGTGCTAAAGCTAAGGAAGGCTACTGGTTCCAATTTCTTGATCAACTGACATGCATTGCTTAATAAATCTATATATTCAGCAGCTTGAACCTTTGTTTCCTTAGTCATTTCATCTCTCACCCACCACACTAAGACTTTTGAGACACCTTGTACACATACAATATATATTTTAAAAATTATTCTTTTGAGAATTTTATAGCATTCCTTGATAGAATTGGAAACATGCTTGAATATCGCAAACCCAGTCTGGGAATCACTTAGCTAGATAATTTACTAAATGACACTAATGGCTTGAATTTTTTTTTCAATTTCCAACCATTCCTAAGCTCTATTACCCTACTACCCTATCCAGGGTAATAACAGCAACAACAATAACATTAGCTAATACTTATATAGCTATTTAATATATGCAAAGTGTTTCACCTATCTATCTGACCCTTACAACAGCTGTGTGGTGTAGGTGTTATTATCCCCACTTTATAGATAAGAAAACTAAGGGTCATAGAGGTTAAGTGATTTACCAAGGATCAGAAAGCTAGTGTCTTAGGAAAATCTGAACTCAGAGTCTTCCTGACTCTGAGTCCAATTCCCCTGGCTTGGAGAACATGACTCATGGCACCTTTTTCTCTCTTCCATCTCACTTGCAGAGCTATCAAGAAAAGAAACTCTTCTTTTCACTCTCCTTCCTATTTTCTCACTTAAACTGATTAATATTCAGTGTGGGCTGAGAAGTGTTGACCTTGAGTAGGAAGCCTCTCAATGCTGCCATTCTTCTATGGACATCAATAGATGTCTCTCAGAGTCTTTCCCTATGCCTCTCTTTTCAAGATTTATAACATCTCTCAATAATTGAACCACATCAGATAAGCTTGTCATTTAATATTTTAAATTTTAAAATTACAAGTAACTTTATAATAGTATCCAGTACATATTAGAGAACTACAACCAATGTTAATGTTCTCACTGAAACATACATAATCATTACATAGAATTGCCTTATATCTCACAGAAATGCCCGAAGAAAATTCTAGCTAATAATCCTATGTATAAGAAAAGACTCAGAGACTTTTAATCAATGAAATAAAATGCCAGTAATATCTTGTCCTAATTAAAAAAAATAAAAACCGTATGGGTCTTTCCGATTTATAGCTCTTAGCTTTATATAACTGATAGTATATGTCACACATTTGGGGGAAGGGAAACAACATCAATTACATCATGGCTTAGCCACCAACTAGCTGTGTGATCTTGGACAAGTCTCTTCCAGTGGAAGGGATGTTAGGTCTGGAATAAGAAGGAACCTGGGTTCTTCTTTTTTTCTTGTTTTTTCTTTTTGTCTAGGTGATGGGGTTAAGTGAGTTGCCCAGGGTCACACAGCTAGTAAGTGTTATGTGTCTGAGGTTCTATCCACTGTGCCACCTAGCTGCCCCAGGCACCTGGGTTCTTATCTCAACTTGAACATTTACTAGTTGTGTGACCACAAACAAATCATTAATTTCTCAGAGTCTCAGTTTTCCCATCTTATACATAGCTAATAATGCCTGTAGTACCTCTCACAGGATTCTTCCAAAGCTCAAATGAGATAACATATGCAAAAATGATACTTAAATTTCTGCTTTTGTTATTGTCCCTCAGAGACTTGAGCTCTAGTCCTGGGTCAGCCAGTAATTAGTTGCATAATCTTGGATGAGTCAGTTAACTTTTCTGGATCTGTTTTCTTATCCATAAAATGAAGAATTGGATTAGATAAGTTCCAAGTTCTCCTCTATATCTTTAAAAAAAAAAACCTTTGAATTCTAATTCATAAAATGTAAATTTTGGAAAGGGTAGGCTTTTGTTTCTCACTTATCAATGAATCAGTATTTTAAATCTAGTCATTAAATAGGCAAAGGTCCAACTGTTATTCCATTCCAAGTACAGACTAATCTGGGTATCAATGTTTAAAACTACTGAATAGATTATTTTTTTAAAGGGGAGGGAAAGGGGGAAAATGCTCGTTCAGTTAGAGATATTCTTTTCCATCCCAGTAATGGAACATTTCTACCAGTCTTTCATTTCGGTCACTTACGTATCATCATCATCATCATCATCATCATCATCATCATCATCATCATCAGATCTAGGCTCCAGTTGTTCTTCATCCATAACAGCAGCAGAGGTTGGTTCCACCTTCCCCTCCTCTTCAGCACTGGAAAGCCAGTACTTTAATGTTTCCACTAGTTAAACATAAAGATCAGTTAGTATCTTATTAAAACAAGGAACCTCTACAATTCTCTAAAATTTCCTGTTGTTCCTGTAACATTATTGGTGACACCACTAATTAATGACTATGAAAAGCCAGCCTCTCTCCCACCCAGCCACATCATTTTTTTCTGTGATTATTTTGTAAATTTTTTAAAAGCATTCCTTTCTTACTGGCAAGGCAGGAAAGTAAATAATGGAGACTAAAAACACCCAACATCCAATTTTCTCTAATTTGTAAGAAGTGGCTTGGCTACCACCATTTACCTAGATTAAAGCACTTCCCTAAGAGGTGGAATGTTTACCACAGAACCCTCATTTATCAATTCATACCTGAAATATTCGATTTCATGACAGCATTTTTAGAGTCAGCATGTTGTAGGAGAAAAAACACCAGGGTAAAGGACTTGTAAATAACTAATGAGATACTGTATGTGTAAAATACTTTAAACACCTTTCACACACTATAGAAATGTCAGCTGCTGTGGTTTTGTGTTAATATAAACATTAATATTATTACTCTCTATGAATCTATCACTGTTAAATCCTATTTGACATGATCTTTATTTGGTTCTTGCGGTAGGTGGCAAGTATTACAATGTGTTCAACCTCCCAAAGCAATGTTATTAGGAATAACCTGAACACTGCATTATCCACACCTGGATCCTCCTTTGCACAGATGAATTGTGTTGGACATTTAATCCCAGGGTGACTTTGCCACCAATCAAAAGTCCAAGTCACTCCCCCTTATCATGAGTGAACATGTGCTCAGAGAATGAAGAATATTTTTAATGTGCTAATAAAAGCCAACCATAACTTGAAATGTGAATCTGGCATAGAAAAACTTTGCCAGGGGTAAATGTAAATTATTGCTTAACTATCTGCCCTACCTGTCTCAGTTAGCACTGTTATTCCAGAATTGACAGCACCTTATTTAAATACGTTCTATGTAGAAAAGGAGTTGTTCTGTAGCTGGGAGACAGGGGGAGAAGTAGAGCAGCTATGACTAACCATTTCCAGTCTCCTCCCTCTATCCCCTGTGATTTGCATAGAATCCAAGCGGCATGATAGGGGTTTGAGAGAAAAATCCTCACTTTATTCAACTTCATTCAACTCTTTCGCTGTTTTGGTAAATGGTTTCCTCTCGAAATGACTTGCCAAGACCAGGTGATGATAGAAATTAAAAGGAATTTTCTGACCATAACTAAAGTATGAATTAGACTGAGGGAGTCCAACGAGTGGGAATGAAGCTTACAATGCAAAAGCATGCGACATAATTACGCTATTGGATGATCTTGTCATGTATCTTTTTCAGTTAATGAAAGTAGTTTGCTAAGAGCTTTCCGCTGTGTCCCTGCCAGGATTCTACCTTGCATTTGATTCCTAGCGGGGCCAACAGCTGCTCGGTAAAGAAAATGTGTGGATTTAAATGAACTTGCTACTGAAGAGCAGCTCAATAGCGGCTCCTGGTGGGAAAACACTACGTAGGAAATGTCACGTGTGAAAATCTAGTTTTAAGGTGCAGTGAAGATGTAAGTGATGAAAGAATATCACCGTCAGAAACAGGGGTTTTTATTTTGGTTTATGTGGTTATTCAGTATAACAGGTGTGAGTACCCTAGTGAAATAAAATCTGTGCGTAACGACTGTGAGTATATTAGGAGAATCTGTTGTCGTGTATTTTATTCTAATCTCATGTTGTTTGAGCTGATGTGACCTGATCTGTGCGTGCTTACTAAAAGACGCTGTTTGTAAGAACTCGTAACAGTGTACCTAGAATAGCTTCTCTGGGAGCCCACATTAGAGAGGAGCCTTGAGGGTGTTACATATAAAAATAATAGTTTCCACCCACTCCAAATATTCCATGCCACTTTTTAGGGCATTTCTTCTTTCTCTTGATTTTATTTTAAAATGTGAAAATGATGGAGAGATAAAAATAAAATATAATCTGAAGGTTTGCTAAACACTGTGATTAAAGAATTTTTTTCTGATGTCAACCAGTATATTTACTCCCAAGTGGATACTTTGTATAATTTCCTGAAGTACATGGAAAGTGAATCACTTTGTGAATTCTCATCTCTGTGGCATACTTGCTACTTAGTTGCAATGAGAGCCGATATAGACCAAGGGAAGAGAAACAGACATGTTTCATTTTTAGTTTTAGGAAGACCTATTTCACAGTGGTTCATGAGATAGGCAAGTAAATGACCTACTGATTGACTACAGAAATGCAAAATTCTTTCCTTTTCATTTTAGGATAATTCCTGTTTTAGCTATATATGCAACTACTTCATAAAGACTGGCAGAGGAAAGAGGTCATCTTCATAATAAATAAGGGGTTTTAACCTTTTTGTGTCAAGTACACCTCTGGAGTTGGACAAAGTCAATGGGCCCCTTCTCAGAATATGGTTTTTAAGTGCATAAAATAAAATACACAAGATAAAACAAAGGAATCCAAATCTGTTGGAATATAATTATCAAAATATTTTTTAAAAAAACAATATCCTGGACCCCTGAAATCTGTCTATAGAGCTCAGGTTAAGAACCCCTGCTAAGAAGGGTTCCTTTAGAAGAATTTAAATGCAGGTGTGAACTAGTTGTGTAACTACAAACAGGAATCTATTTATCAAGGTTGATAAGTGTAGCTATCACCAATAAGATTCATGTACAGGATTTTCATAAGGTCCTTGAGCACTTAAAAATTGTAATAGCAAATGTACAAATAGGATAGAAACAAAGGTGAAAAATACACAAAGACAATGAACATCATTGATCAAAGTAATCAAAATCTGACATTGAATGGATAGGTGATATTTGGTAATAGAATGTCAAAATGTATAAATATACACACATACATACATACATATAATACACACACATGCATATAACGTATGTGATACATAATGCAATATTAAAATGTACTTCTACTTTTTATATAATTATACTGTTCATTAAGTGTGAAGCTGTGTGTAAAAGAAATGTTTTAACTTATCTATAGAAAACATTTTCAAGAATAACATTGAAATTCCCAACATCTATGTGTTTTCGACAAGTACTGAGGTGGTTTGTGCTTCCCACTTCTCTGCTCCTTCTGCCTCCCAGTCAATCTATTTTCTCTGGTGGATAAGAGTAGATTCTCAGAACATTTCAAGTAGGAGTCTATTTGAGCTGTTAGAGGTGTAGCTTAACAAGAGCCAGTATTTATATATCACTTTAAGGTTTGCAAAGCACTTTACATATGCTACCTCCTTCGGTCATCATCATCATAATTTTCAGATGAGGAAACCAAGACAGACTAACCACCTTGCCCAAGGTCACACAGCTAGTAAGTGTCTGAGGGAGGATTTGAATTCAGGTCTTCCTGACTCCAAGTTCAGAGCTCTATCCATTGTATAGCCTAGCCATTTGGTAAAGAAGGCCTTCAGCTTTACTGGCATTTGCTAAATCCCTTGGTATTTAAAGTTAAAATTTAAAAGGCTTTTGACACAGAGATCTGGGAGGGATTTGAAGGAAGTTCATAGGATCATAATTCAAAATATGGAAGGGACCTCAGAGGCCTATCCAGTCCAACCCCCTTATTTCACAAATGAGGAAACAGTCTTAGGGAAGTTAAGTGACTTGCCCAATATCACATAGTTAGTTAGCATCAAACATAGGATTTTAACCCAGATTCTCAGACTCCAGTGCTCTTTCTATTGTGCATACTCAAGTACAGTTGTGAGATTTTATCTTAATAAAAATTCATCGACTGATTTGTTTTGGGGCAGCTAGATGGCGCAGTGGATAAAGCACCAGCTCTGGCTTCAGGAGGAGTTGAGTTCAAATCAGACCTCAGACACATAACACTCACTAGCTGTGTGACTCTGGGCAAGTCATTTAACCCCAATTGCTACACACACGTTTTGCTGAACAATGAAAAACTTTTTTTTGTTGTTGTTGTTCATTTGTTAGTTATGTCCAACCCTTTGTGACTCCATGGACTATATAGCATTCCAGGCCCTTCTATCTATCCTTCACTATCTCTTGAAGTTTGTCCAAATTCATGTTTGTTGTTTCCATGATACTATCTATCCATCTCATCCTCTGCTGTCCCCTTTTCTTTTTGCCTTCAATCTTTCCCAACATCAGGGTCTTTTCCAATGAGTCTGATCTTCTCATTATGTGGCCAAAGTATTTAAGCTTCAGCTTTGGGTATTTGACCTTCCAGTGAATAGCCTGAATTAATTTCTTTAAGGATTAACTGATTTGACCCCTTTGCTGTCCAAGGGACTCTAAAAAGTCTTCTCCAGCACCATACTTTGAAATCATCAATTCTGCAGTGCTCAGTTTTCCTTAGTCCAACTCTCATAGCCATACATTACTACTAGAAAAGCTATAGCTTTGACTATATGAACCTTTATCGGCAGGGTGATATCTCTGCTTTTTAGTGGGCTGTCCAGATTTGCCATAGCTTTCCTTCCAAGGAGCAAGCATCTTTTAATTTCACGACTGCAGTTGCCATCTGCAGTGATTTTTGAGCCCAGGAATATAAAATCTGACACTGGGTAAGTGTGAAAAAAGGGTAAGTCTTATTGGCTAATCTCCTCACACAATGCATTTCAGGGCATCCTAAATGCTCTGCAACCTCCTTTTAGCCTCACTAATTGTCAGGTCAAGTCAACAAACTATTAATGTACCTACTCTGCGTCAGACACTGTGCTAAGCACTGGGGACCCAAAGAAAGAAAACAAAATAAAGCAAAAAACAAAAAAAAACAAAAAACACTCCTTGCTCTCAACAAGCCCTGGAATGGAAGAAAACACGCAAACAACTATATACAAACAATATATTTAGAGGATAAGTTGTAGATTAATCCTGGAGGGAAGGCACTAAGTTTAAGGAGAACTGGGAAGGACTTCCTGCTACCAAGACAGAAGGTGAGACCTTGGCTGAAATTCGGAGGAAGTTTGGAGGTGAGAAATAAGAAGTGAGTGAAT